CGTGCTGACCCGTGAGCAGACTCGATCACTCGGGAAGTCCTGAGGCAGCCAAGGAGCCCATGAGGAGGCAGAGCCCAAGGGACAGTGACTGGGTGGTCACACGAGGCAGGAGGGTCTGGAAAGGCCATCTGAGCATGTGTGTGGGTCCGGCAACTAGAGGGTCACTCATATGTCGTCCTAAGCAGTTTGGAAGGCGACAGTGGAGCCCTGGCCTAGAGCGGGAGCAGAGAGCAGGCTGTCCTCCCAGGTTTGCTTTGCAAAGGGAGACAGTGGCGACTGGGCAGCGCGGTAGGGTGCGGAGGAGGGCTGCAGACCTCTTCCCAGACGATGGCGGGCACTAAAGCTGGCCGTCCCTCCTGAGTCTACTATAAACTACCACGCGTTCGCGTTCAACGGGCAAACGCACGCAGGGCAGTAAAACCGGTTGGCTGGTTGGTCTGCAGTGAAGGAGGGCCAGCCAGCAGCATGGTGGTTAAGGGGCTGGACCCCACGTGGGCCACTGCAGGGCTTTCGTCCCAGACCAGGTGAGGGAGACTATGGTGTGGCCATTCCCCTGGGGTACCCCTTCTCCACCTTCTCTCTGTCTCTCTCCAGCAAGCACACATGCCCCCTGGCCAATTTTCTTTTTTTTAATGAAACTGGTGGATAGTCAGAGTCAAAAGAGAGTTATTTCTGAAAAGTGACTTCACTTACCTGAAAAACAGCAGGTGACGGCTAGCCAACAGACCTCTCTAAAACCCTCTGGACCTCTCATTCCCTGACCGCGATTGGCCTCTGCTAGATGCAGAGCTTCGCCGTGACGGACTGGAAGTGCAAGCACCCCGGCCTTCCCACCGGGGAGACCCCTGAGTGGGGCGTGTCCTCTGCCGCCAGCCTGTTCTTCCAGTCCCCGTGCATGGATGTGGACGTGGACGCGTCTCCGTGCCCATGTCTCCACCTGCCCCCCTCCTTCCTGCCCCTCTCTCTAGGGCCTGACACGTGCTCACGGTCTCCACCTGCACACCCCCATCCCACGCCAACAGCTCTGTGTTCAGGGCACAACTGGGCCAGGCCTGAGGACCGGCGTCACCGTAACTGCTGTGTGCTCACTCCCAGACCTCTGTGCGTCTAGGAGGCTTTGGTTCCCGGGCTGAAAACACAGGTGGGTGGGGCTGGGTGGGCACAACCCCTGGGGGCCGAGGGCACTTGGCCAGCACTTGCTGAGCGCCTGCTAGCCCTCTCTCGCCCCTCGAGGTGACTTCTTGACTCTCAAGATCAAGGCCTCTTTCCCCATGGGCCCTCGTGGCCTGCGATGGCCAGTCTGCACCTGCCTCCAGGGTCACTCTGCAGGCGGCCCCTTCCCAGGGCTGCACACTGAGGGTGACACAGGTAGGGCCTACACCCATCTCTGAGGTCTCTCCAGGCAACGCCGTCCTAGGTCTCAGAAGTGGCCATGGCAGCCCAGAGCACCCACCCCACCTCCACCTCGCCCCGCTCCACTCACAGGGCGGTGGAGAATTGTAATCTCCAGGGGACGTCAGGGACACCAGAGCTGGGGTGGCCACCCTCCTCCCCAAGCCCTCGAGCTTGCTCTCATCCCGCGACTCAGTGATCGTGGAGGTGGGGGTCCAAGTCTGGACCTTCTCCCTCTCTGCAGTGAGGACCTCCCGGGCTGCCCTGATCGGGCCCAGTCTCCCATTTAACTGCGTCGCTGTGACGACTTCCGGCTGACCCCCACTCTCTGACCTAACGCACCACGCAATGGTGTGGTGGGAGCTCTGAGAGCAGCTCTGGGAGCCATGGAGACCCCTTCCTGCCCCACCTGCAGGTGCGGATCGGACGCACTGACCGGCACAGTCTGTCCGACCTGACCCAGGCACTCCTCCATTCACTCCCTGCCATCCCTGGAGACCCCGACTTAAACTGGTCTACTTTCAGGGCTGGGAATACGCTGTTAGCCTGGTAATGCCAGCTAATCTTGTGAGATTTAGCTCAAATGTCAACTCCGACATTTTTTTCCTGATCGCTTACCCCACACCCAGCCATCCCACTCAGGCCCACGTTCAGGGTACGACATCATGCGACCCAGCAGGCTACTCGCTGACCTTTCTCTGTGTCTCCCCACACCCGAGGGCTGAGCCTGGTCCCTTTCGTCCACGGCGCCACGTCCCACGCTCAGCAGGGCACAGGTACCAGGCCGCACTCCCGGCTCCCCTGCCTTCCCCACTAGCCCCACGGCAGTGAGCAGTTCTGCCCCCCGCCCCCCTGGCTGGAGCCCTGAGCTCATCAGCCTTCACAGCCCGCAGCCCTGCGGCACCACCACCATCCAGTTCCGAGGCCGAGCCGCCGTGAGCCAGAGCACACAGCCAAGACGGGAGCAGACCTCTGTGATTCAAAGCCGTTTCCCAACGTCCGACTTACGTGACTCCTTCAAACGTGCCCCCTTTTCATTTCAAAATGTCTTGTGTCTTAATGAGCTCTTTTCTTTCTTTCTTTTTTAAAAATTATTTTATTTATTATTTTTTCACATGAGTTTTGTCAGAGGAAGAGAGAGAGAGAGAGAGGGAGAGGGAGAAAACAAGCCACCAAGTTCGGGACTTGAACCGTGGTCAGCCGTGTGGGAATTCCAGCACCTTAACCACCAGGCCACCTGCTAGGCCCCTTCCTTCCTTCCTTCCCTTTCCTTTCCTTCCGTTCTTTCCACAGGGCGGGCGCCACCACGCCCCTTCCTTCCTTCCTTTCTTGGAGAGGTTTTTGCAATAGGACGCGTGCGCTCGCCAGATGGACAGAGAGAGACAGAGAGACAGAAAGCGAGAAATCACCCCCGGGGGGATGGTCACGCCGCAATCCCTTCTCCTCCATTCTCCTCTCGGGATCTTGGGCACACACGCACACGCGCCCGGTGTGAGTTTAAGCCACCGGGTCCAGGACTCGAACCGTGGTTGACTACATGGGAATCCAGCAACACAGCCATTACGGTAACTACTGGTCCCTGAGCTCTTTTTCTCTGAGATGGGAACATCAGTCCTTGCAAAACTGTCCTCCCTTGGGCTGGGCCTTCTTACTCCCCCTGGCCCCTCCTCATCCGAGATGCTTCCCCTTAACACTCCTGCCCTCTCCACCTCAAAATTACTCCATCTGTTCTGTTCTAGAGTGGGGGCTCTCAAAGTGTACCCCAGACCAGCAGTGTCAGGTCCCCCACAGGGTCTATTAGACACAGATTCTGAAGTTCGACCCCAGATGCACTGGTCAGACGGGTGGTGCCTAGACAGCAGCCTGGTTCACTTAGTGGGCAGTCAGGAAAGGTGTGACTCACTTTTGCGTAGAAAAATGCGCCACGACTTTCCTGGTGACCTGCTGTATCTTTCCTGACAGAAACAGAGACAGGCACCCCACCAGGGTTCTTTGCCACCCTCTACCCCTCGCCTCGGCCAGTCTGGCTCAGGCATGCACATGTGCCGGTTGGCATGCCTGGCAGCCTCCAGACCTGCCCGGGGGCCTTCCCATGGGGACCGCGGACCCACCACCGGGCCCGGCCAAGGT